CAAAACCTGTAATTAAACAAACAACTATGTTTAAAATATTTCCAAACAGAATAAGGTAATATTTTTTGCCAAAAATCCATAATAGGTGTTTTGGTTCTTTTCATTTGGTTCAGGGAGGACCGTTCTGTAAACAGGCATAGACTCCACCAGCAGACACACTGGGATTTTATAAACATCATCCTCACATGGGTAGAAACCGACAGAACATGCAAGCTGAAGGGAGAAGGGGAAGATATTTAGCAGATTTCTCATTCAGGCCCCATTTCACCTCCTCTCTGCCCACACTGGAAGGAGACATTTTAGGGACAAGTTACTTACTCTTTTCTAACTCTAAATACAAGGATTGAATGAGATGATGCCTGGGGCATTTTCAATTCTAAAAAAAAAAAAAATCTATATTATATCCCCATATTAATTTAGCTTCGCTCTTAGGCCACCCCTAACTCGTAGTAAGGAATTACAGCTGAGAATCCATACATATCTAAAAATTTACTTCTTGTAAGCTTTATGATAGTCTCTCTGCCCCAGATCAGACCAAGTCAGCAGAAGCTGAAGTTTTAGGAAAGATCACATGGGATCTTTAATTCCTTCTTTAGAGCAGTGGTTCTCAACCTTCGTAATGCCATGATGTATTTTCATTGTTACAAAGGGGTCGTGACCCATAGGTTGAGAACCACTGCTTTAGAGGAAGTAAGCAGAAGTCAGAGAGGAGCTCATATCAGGATGAGAGGAGAAAGAGAGAGAAATCCCTCTTCAGTCTGTTTATCATGTTAAACCCTTTCTCATCTTCACAATACCCATCTTCTAGGTGAGGAGACTGAGGATCAGTTTGGTCAGGCCATTAGTTCAAAATAATGGAGCCTCATCCATGGAGGACCAAGACCATTTGGGGGAACAAAGAATCTCTTCAACAAATGGTGCTGAGAGAACTGGATAACAACATACAAAAGAATGAAGCTAAACCCTCCTACCTAACTTCATGCATAAATATTAACTTGAAATGAATCTAAATGTAAGAGGTAAAATTAAAAAAAATATTAAAAGGAAAACAGAAGTAACCTTCTTAAGCTTGGATTTTGCAGTGGATTCTTAGGATATCAAAAACCTGAGCAACAAAAAATAAAACAGATAAGTTGAACTTCATCAAAATCAAAACCTTTTTTTTTTTTTTTCAGTTTTAGGCTGGGCTTGAACCTGCCACCTCCAACATATGGGGCTACTGCCCTACTCCTTTGAGCTACAGGCACTGCCCAAAATCAAAACCCTTTTTTGCATCAAGGATATTATCAAGAAAGTGAAAGGCCACCTACAGAATGGGAGAAGATATTTGCAGATGACACATCAGATACAGGTACAGTACCCAGGATATATAAAGAACTCATACAACTCAACAACAAAAAGACAAACAGCTCAATTCAAAATGGGTTTGAATAGACATTTGTCCAAAGAACATATAAAAATGACCAAGAAGCACACGACAAGATGTGCAAATCAAAATCAAAATGAGAGATTACCTCATATCACTAGTAAAAAAGAACCTAGAAAATAATGTTGCCATGGATGTGAAGAAACTGGATTCCCCATACATCGCTGGTATATAAAATGATGTATCTGCTGTGGAAAAGTTTGGTGTTTCCTCAAAAAGTAAAATAGGAAGGTATATATGACTCAGTAATCCCAGGTATATTCTCCAAAGAATTGAAAACAGCTATTCAAATAAATACTTGTCCATGAATAGCTGTACTAATACACACCATAGCATGAATGAACCTCAGAAACACTGTGGTAAGTGAAAGCTGTCAGACACAAAGATCACATACTGCATGATTCTCCTTACTTGCAATGTCTAGATAAGGCAGATTCACAGAGACGGAGAGCAGACTGATAGGAAGGAGTAGACCTGCTCCGTGGGCCTGGAGTTTTTGAGGAGCAATGATGAAAATGTTTTGGTAATTCTTGGGCAACATTTGAATATACTAAATATCACTGAACTGTATACTTTAAAATGGTTTTTAATGTTATATTTATTTTCATTTAAAAGAAAATAGAAATAAAAGGGATGGAGCCACTTCAGATAACTTCAAGTCTCACTGCCTAAATTTAAGCCTTACCTATATTCTGTCTGAACTATTGCTCACTTCCTGGTTGTTTTTTTTTTAAGACAAAGTAAGACTTTGTCACCCTTGGTAGAGTGCTGTGGTGCCACAGTTCACAGCAACCTCAAGTTCTTGGGCTCAAGCAATCCTCTTGCTTTAGCTTCTCTAGTAGCTGGAACTATAGGTGCCTGCCACAATGCCTGGCTATTGTTTTAAAGGCAGGGTCTCACTCTTGGCTCAGGCTGGTCTCAAACCCCTGAGCTCAGGAGTTCCCCCCCATGTGCTAGGATTACAGGTGTGAGCCAGTGTGTCTGGCCTTAGTTTTTTCAATTGATTTTACTTTTTAATTAATATTCATTTGAAAGGAAACCATAATGGAAAACATCAAACATCAGAATATAATCTTAAAAATTTCTTTCTGCTTTGTTTCAAAATCAGGTAAGATTGTCCCAAGAGACACAATTTTCACTGCAGTGTTATTTTTCTTTTAACCTTAGCAGTAGGTTATCTATATAAAATTGTATACTGTGATGTGAGAATGGTTTATGTGACAATTATCCTCATTAAATACACATTGCTGTAGTTAAAGAGAAATAAACTTATAGGCAGGTAGATAGGCACAAGGAATCTTTTTAAAAGCCAAAATTAGATTTAGGTATACAATTGTTCTTAAATAAGATAAGCCAGAAGCCCACTCTTTCTGTTAAAAAGGGGTCGGCAAGTGTTTAAGAGATGTTAAAGCTAGAGTAGCACTGAACTGAGATTTTCCCCTCCACACAATTAGAAAGATTAAAAGAAAATTGTAAGACAACTAACTTTCAAAATTTGGGGGCTCAGGGTTACTTAGCACTGAGTTCACACAAAGCTGCATGCTCAGAGGGAACCCGGTGCATCTTCTCCACTGAGGAATCTGTGTTGGAGCTCTTCTTCCATGACTTCTATAAACATGAAGAATCATGTCATTATCATTCTGTCCTCATAACAGGCAGCCTTGATTTTTAACTCAGTTCACTGATGAGAAAACTGAGGATCTCATAGATGAGAACTTGCCCATGGTCACATGACTAGAAATGAACTAAGGTAGAAGCTATTGATTGATCCATAGGTGAAGGTTTATAAACTCATTGTGTTCACTGGGGCAGGCAGTACCCCAGTGAAGCAAAGGCAGCACCTCAAACACAGGATGCTCCATCCTCATGTGTCAGTGGCCTCAGCACTCTTGCTTTTCTTGAAACCCTCAGCTCCTTTGCTCTACCTTTTGTTTTCCTGGGTTTGTTAGAAATATTTCTCTTGTATAACAAAATCAACAGCACAAAGAATATGATATATGGTAATCAACACTTGTTCTCAATATCAGACAGAAAGTAGGACCTAGTGGGGCCAGAGGCAGATGAGAGACAGCCCTGCCTGTAAGTGGCAGCCCCTCTAAGCTCCAGCCGATTTTAGCTACTGGGTCCGATGCTGTTAAAGCCTCTATTTTTTTTTTAAGGAAATCTAAACATTCAGAAGTTCAGGTCTTTATGTGAGATGTTTTCTTTTTTCAAATATTGGCTCAAATTGTTTTTTCCAAACACTGTGTAGATAAAGAAAAACATTTATAGGACAAACATGGTTCAAGGGACATCAATTTGTAATGTGATTATATCCACTTTGTAGAGATGAAGGTGTGTCCCAGGAAGGGAATGACCTTCTCCTGGGGTTCCCAAGTGGGAAGAGGCCACTGTCATCTGGCTCAACCTTAGGCAAGAAGGGTCAAGGAAATGGGCACTCAGGGTACAGGCTCAGTCTGGGTTCTATACAGCTCTGTCTACTAGAATGGGACCCAGCCATGGCCTCTGGCCCTCCTCACACAGAATGTTTAGGGCAGGGGGTCATCACACCCTGCCAAGGTGGAGCCAGATCCACTGCTGAGAGGCTCCCACACAGTGGTTGGAGGTGAGGAAATAGAGATAGGGAACCCTCCTACTATCTTCTTTGATTTATTTTGTTTGTTTCTAACATTTTATTGTGAAAAGTTTCAAAGACAGAGAAGTTGAAGAAATTGTTCAGAGAACACTTGTATATCCATTACACAGGTGAATATTCTGCTTCATCACTTTTCCCCTATCTGCCCAATCCTCTCTCTATCCACCCATCTGCCTTTTGTTTTGTTTTGTTCTGATGTGCTTCAAAATACATTGTAGACATCAGCGTGCTTCACTCTTAAACACTTCAGGCTACATATTACTTTCCTTTTAAACTTTTAATTCACAAGTAACTGACAGACATTCTTTGTAAATAGTGAAAATACACAGAGAACATGCAATTGCCTTGTACCATTGCTCCCTCAACCTGATCTTTTCACTAGAGATGACCAGTCATCCTCAGTTTGGAGTGTACCCTTACCCATCTTTTTCTGACCTTTGTATATACCTACACATGGCCAAGGAAAGTAGTATGGTATTACTTTGCAAGTTGTTTTTTGTTTTCCTTTTTTTAAACAAACACACAATTGGTGCTGCACTGGAAAAGTCATTCTGCAGTTGGCTTTTTAACTCACCATCTTTCTCTGTCACCATATGGCGTGGCCTTACCCTCCCTCCAGCCTGCAGTCTTCCACAGTGAGACCACATTATTTGTTTATTTGCTTAACCTCCTTCTCATGCATATTTAGGTTATTTATACCTAGTGTCATTTCTGTCTTCTTCCTTTTTGTCCAGATACATAAAAAATAGGTTTCTTAGCTTTTTCCCCCAAGTGCTCTGCACTATAAAGATCACTTATATTAGATAAACTCGAGCATGGTCTATGGAGCGTTGGAAGCAGTGGTATGTTAGTGCAATAGGGCATGGAAGTTGCCTGTCTCTGTGGGGATGTCCAGGGGACACTTGTGGGAGGTCGGCATGTGTGGCACCAGGGACTTACCACACAGGATGCTCTGATTCACACATTGCCAGGAGTAGCGCTCTGTCTTGGGCCTGCACCCAGCTTCCTCAGCACGAGTATAACAGCAGTCGTGGCGATGGCAGCACCTGTGGATGTCACATGGGCAGACTGGCAGGTGGGTGAAGGCAGTGTGGCCACCCTTCCTTGCTGGGACTTTGGGTGAGTGAAGACCCCCAAGGAGCCAGCATCTTCAAGTCTAAGCTTTGTCCCTGGAAGGACCCATGTGCTGGCCCTAGCATCTGCACCATCTCCAGTCCCGGCTAAGACCATGCCACGTGCTGCCCACTTGCCTGCTCCACTCTGAGTCTCTGAGCTTCAGCTCCACTAGCCGTCTCTCTATTCCTGGAGTGAGCCAAGCCTCTGCGCCCTCCTGGCATTGCCCATGTTACACCCTCTGCCTGGGACCGCTGCATGCCTACTCCTGTCTTCTAGATCTCAGCCCAAGCACCAGCCCCCTGCATAGGATATCATCTGGCTTCACCTGACCTCCCTAGTATATACCCTCTCATGAAGCCAGGTTCTTTTCACTTAGGGCAGGTTTATAAAGGTAACCTTAGCATCTATATCCAGTGCCCTAAGGCCCAGCCCAGGCCCTGCCACATAATAGGACCTCAGAAAACATCTACTGTGGAACAATTCCCAGAGGAAGACTCATATCCCCCCATACCTGTTAATCATTCATTCACTCACTCATTCATTCACAGGTGTTCTCTCCACCTGCCTATCAGCCACACTTTGCCAATCCCTCAATGAGGCCTGGTGTGCACAGGCCAGCATTTCAGGGAGCCCAATCTGGTAAGGAAGGTAGCCACCAGACACATGGTTGGTGAGAAGTGCTAAGATTTGGTGTAAGCCCTGGGGACCCTGGGAGCCCAGACAAGGTGGCAGACCCAGCTAGGTTTCAGAGAAGTCTTCCTGGAGTGGGGAGCCACATCTGAAGGACACACAGGAACCAAACAATCAGAGTGCAGGAGCTCGCAGAGGAAAGCTGATGAATCCAAGACATGAGGGTAAATAAAGACCTCCTGGTGACCATCACGGCCTCCAGGCTAGGGGAAAGGCAGCCAAACTCTGCCCTCTGCTACCTATGAGCTTTGTGGAAATGAGTGACTGAGCCTCTCTGAGCCTCAGAGTTCTCATCTTTAAAATGAGGATGACTTTCATGGCTGTCTCCATAGATGGCAGTGACAGGAAATGAGAGGAAGTCACAGAGAGATCTTAGCCCCAGACTTGCACAGGGCAGGCATATTTTAGATGGCAAGCAAGAACCCGTCTAGGTTCAAATACCAGCTCCCACACCTTCCTCTCTGTGTGTCCCCAGACACATTACCTAATCTTTCTGTGCCTCAATTTCTTTGTCTATGAAATGGGGTTATTGTAAGGACTCACAGGGAGCCTCAGAGTAGTCCCTGGGGTATAATAATCTGGCTACCTTTATGTTAGTTTTTAGGCAATGTAATCAACCCATTGCAGCTGGCACCAAGATCTGGCCTCAGTGGCCACATTATCCAGGAGGTCCCCTGCCTACAAGGGAGTACCACATGCTAAGGTTTTGGGTATTTCCTTGTAGGTCTTAACTACCCCCAAGGGTGGAATACCTTTTAGCTTAGGCCCAAGCATGTACTCACCAGTCAATGGCATCCTGGGGCAGGCCGCGGCCACCCAGGCCACAGTAGCAGCCATAGTTCACATAGGCAATTGGGGTTCGGGTACCAACACAATTCATAGTACCCGCCAGTTCCAGGAGCCCACGTCGATGCACATGTGATCTCCTAGAGGCTGGGAATGTGGTAGTGGTAAACAAAGGTCAGACAGAGGCTGCATGTCAGGGCTTCCCTGGCCCTACAGAGGGACAATGACCTGAAAAAGGCCTGGATGTTGCAGCCAGACTTGTCTGGGTTTGTAGGTTTGTATCTCACTTCCTAGCTATATAACTTTGGACAAATTACTAACTTCTTTGTGCCCTGTTTCTTTGTGAAATAGGAGGTAAGGTGATCTCAACTCATAGAAAGAAGTAAGATAATGCACGAAAACCACATGACCCATGGCAAGGCCTAACTATTATAATCAATGTCTTCAAGGCAGCCTTGGGCAGGACGGGGGAGGAATAGTCACAGACTGTAGTACATAAGATATCATGCCCCTGGGCCTTTGCACAGGCTGCTCCCACTTCCTGGAATGCCCCACTTACCAATCCCCTGTCCTATCAACTCTGGATACAGTCAGATTGTGAGTTAGGCATCAAATGTTTGTCCAGTTACCTGTTCTGGGCACTGAGAATCAGAGGTGCGCTAAGTACACTCCCTGTCAAGGAGGTCTTCTCCATGGGGGTTTCCCAGCCCCTGCCTCAGGGCCCTTTGCATTTCCTCTTATTCATTGGCAGTACCCAGACAGGGAGGCCCCTCTGCCCAAGCCCAGTATCTCTCTGGATTCTGGTACAGCTCTGACACACAGTGGTGCCCAATACTTGCAGATGTGACTGGCATTTTTGCACTGGACAGGTGAAAAAGAGTAGGCCAGCTGGGGAAGGTACCTCTCATACTCTACTGCCAGCAAGAGCCTGGGCTGAGGGTCCTACCCAGGCTCTGAGTCACAGACCACTGCTCCTCCCTCCTAGCATGGTAACAGCAGGGGAAAAGGGCCTTTCAGGGTGACAGAGCCAAGGGTCATGGGCAGCAGAGCACTTCCTGAGAATCCTCTCTCCACTCCTTGGTGACTGAGGATCCAGGGAAGGTCCAGGTGCTGCATTTGGTCATCTCTTCTCTTTCATCTCTCTCTCTCTTTTTTTTTTTTTTATCTAGAACATGTTCTTATCTCACTGACTTTTTTGAGGAGTCCAGACCAGGTTTCAGTTCGAGTTTTTTTTTTTCCTTGCTCAGAAAGCAGTATATTAGTATGGGGAAACAGAGATGGATCCAATAGGAAGAAAATGTACAAGTGAGTTTAGAGTTCAAAGCTTCCCTGTCCTCTTTTATGACCAGGCTTCCCTCTCCCCGCAGCCTGTGTCTCTGCCTCAAACCTCCTGGGGTGTCCTCTGAGTCTGGACAAGCTCTGGGGCATCACTGTGCCTCAAGGCCTGGCAGGACTCAAACCCTCTCATCTCTCTATACCCTGTATACCCTGTCACATACACACTCTGCCACAAATACCTGGACCCCATCCTCATCCTGCTCGTGGGCTATCTACTTCCAGAATCTGCCTTGCCCCACAGATAGACACAGGGGCCCTCCCCATACTTTGCTGCAGCTGCCGATGGGAGAACCCTCCAGCCTGGCAGGACTTTGAGAGCAAATATCTGACTTGGGCAGCTCTGGATGCCCTGGCACAGAATTTCCAGGAAAGGTCCCTTGACCTCTGGATCCACCAAGCCCCATGGGAACACTTCCCCGGTAAGCACCCCCTGAAAAGGCCTCAGTCCTAATGTCATACCCTGAAGCTATCCCTACAGGTCCCCTCTTACCCTGACCTGATCACTCTATGGTATCTCAGAGGCTTAGGAACTGCTTCGTGGCAGGCCCAGGCATGGGTGGCCACCAGGCACTGTGTTAGCACAAAGTAAAACACTCCCTCTGTGCCAACAGAGGTGGGGCAGGTCATGCTGGGGTCTGTTTGCTCTGTCTGCCCACTGAAGCCTCCTCTGGGAGTGCCAGGGCTGTCTGAGCATCCTATGTGCCCATAAGTGTGTGTGCGTGTCCATGGTGCATCTCATGTGCCCTGGAGGCTGTCTCTGTTTTCCTTGAGTTGCGTGTGCACGTGTGCCCCATGGGCTATTTGCCTGTGTCTGCAGTATGGGTCTGTGTGAGCCACTCACCTAAGTGCTCAGGTGAGTCCAGGGGCTCTGCTTCTCTGTGCTGACAGTGTCTGTGGATTCCTGTGAGTGCATGTATCTGTGCACCCTGGAAACAGGCACTCACCAAGGGTACCTTGCTGAGGGGGTTCCACGGGTGGATGAGAAGGGGAACACTTGCTCTCCCTCCTCCCAGCCCAGCCCCTCCACCCAGTCCCAATCCTCTTCCCTCTCGTGTCCATCTGGTGCTTTTGCCCCAAGGACAGGTGGAGTGAAGCGTCAGTGCCCAGGACCCCAGTGTGGAGGCTCCAAGTTGCTTGGAGAGGGCTGCGGGAAGGATGTCTGCAGAGGACTCTGAGCCCCAAGGGAAAGGCTGGGCTACTTTAGAGTCCCTAAGAAGAGTGAGTGTGGCCTAGAGCTCCCCGGTTCCCAGGAAAGATGAGCGGGTGTATGTTAGAAGCAGGGGTGGGAAGGAGGGCTCCTGCCCTACAGAGAGCTGGCGAGACCTGGGAGCTCTGGGGTCCTCCTCACTCACCGGCACTGGGTCTGGGTCCAGGTTCCAGCAACAGCAGCAGCGACAGCAGCAGCAGCAGCATGATTGGCAGGCACAGAGGTCGCGGCCACATCCGAGGGTGGCAGGTGAGGGCCAGTTGGGCGGCAGGGTAGTCACCCAGCCCGGCCGCCCCCAACCCCGGCCGCCGCGCCCCGCCCCCGGCCTCACCTTCCCGCAGGGCGGAGCCGGGCAGGGGCGGGCACCTGGGGCCGCGGAGCGCAGGTCCTCACCTCTGCATCTTGGTCACCTGGAGGGCTGAAGAGGCCAGGTGCGGCGCTGGGGCCAGGAGGGCGTTAGGCCCCCGTGTAGTAAATGAGCAAAAAGGCACTCTCTTGACGTTATTGCTCCCCGCCACACTCTCCTGGCGCTCAGCTGGGCACCCAAAAGGAGCAGAGGACTTGGGGAGGGGTAGTGCTGAATTTACCTTAAAATTTAGGACATTTTGCACACCTGACCCCCCTCGAAATCAATTCTCCCACCACAGTGGGGAAACTGAGGCAGCCAAAGATTTGCCCAAGGTCACAGCGGGTTCCGGTAAAAGATGCGCTGGAAAGGTGGGAGGGCAGGGAGGCTGCAACTGTGTCTGAGCAAGCCGGGCACCCCTACCTTTCCGTTTAAAGTTTCTCATCTGCCCAAGGGACTGTGTGAGCTAGGAAGGCACACACAATATGTGCTCGATATTGAAAAGAGATGGCCTGGCAGTCCACGATGTAGACACCGTGCTGTTTGCTGCCCAGTCACCAACTTCCTTTGATCCCTCCTCATAACTACTTCTGAGAGAGGAAGGCTAGGCCCCTCCTCCTGTCTCTGGCAAAAACAATGATAATGAAGGTGATACCATGTCTCCAGGGTGCACGATCTTATCACAACTTCAGGCCCCAGGCATTCCTTTTCACACGAAGATAATGAGGATCAGAGAAGCTAACAGCCAAGAAGTAGGGGAGCCACCACTCTAAACTCGTTTCTATCCAAGGCCAAGCCCCTCTCTGCCCCCTTCTATGAACATCCCAGCTCTAGTTCCTCGTTGGCCACACTCAGGAGCACTTGGATGTGAGCAAAATCTCCATCTCCTCCCTCTTGTATACCCAACACCAGTCTGCAGAGCCCACATAAAATGTGGTTACAGACATCCCAAGACTTGGGGTTGCAGAGGATGTGAGTAATGAGCCTCACGGTGCTGTGCCTATCAGGACCTGGTCTAGTTCAGAATCAGGCCAAGCAGTTGGGGCTCCTCTTACCCCAGTACTCATAGCCCTGGCCCAGCGTGGATCCCTGCAGACAGCCAAGGGCATCGCCTCAATGTTTGCTTTGAGACTGCAGCCTAAGGAGAAGAATAGGATCTTCGAGACTGCAGCCTAAGGAGGAGAGTAGGATGCCCATTTGACAGATGAGAAAACTGAGCTCATGGCAGGGACAGAGCAGGAAACTGGTTAGTGTGTAGAGAGAGCTAATCACAAAGTTATTCAATTCTTCACTCATTCCATCACTTAGCCCCCAGTGTGGGTCAAGCACATCCTCAAGAACAGGCACTGTATTAGGGCTACAGTGGGAGATCAGGCCCACTCCTGCCTCAAGGAACTCACAATGGGATGAGGGACAGGCATGAAAGTGCTGAGGGACATGAGGATAAGACCTGGTCGGTGACAGAGGAAGGCCCAGGGCTGTGGGATCCAGAATGATGCTTCATGGTCCTAACTGAAAGTAGGGCCTGGACCTGGGACTTTAGAGCAGGTATATAATTCCAGAAAGTGGATCCAGGAATCAGAGAGAGAGAGACCGGGAGAGTGAAGGAGAAAAGAGAAAAGATAGAGCAAGGGTGTGCTTATAGAGATGGCTGCATGGAGGGCAGCTGAGGCTTAACCCAAAGGGATCTCCTTGGGATCCATCTAGAAATCATGTCATAACTGCCCAATAGACAAATGAGAGAAGAATTCATCCCAGGTTGCTGCCTCCAGTTCCGAGGGAGCAGGGTGGGGAGTGAGATGGGTAGACTTTTTCCCTAGAGCCCCTGCTGGAATCTGAGCTGAAGCCAAGAAGATGTGAGGCAGGAGACAGAAATTGTCCAACCTCTCCCCCAGCCAGCTCAGTGGTGACAGTGAGTTCAAAGAATTCTCCAGACTAGATGATGAGAAACAGAGAAAACTTGGGAGGCAGAGGAACACGCCTAGGCAAAAGGCTGGAAAGCCTGAAAGAACCTTGAATTGCAAGAGTATTCTTAGAATGTGGGGAAGATTCTCCACCTGGTGGACAATTTAGGCATGAAGCTCCAAGCAGGAAATCAATGACTTTCTCCAGACTTGGATCACATGGAAGAAAACATTTTCTTACAATAAAGATTTTGAAACCATAGCCTGGTTATTAAGAGAGAGAAGGAAGTTGGAGAGCGTATATTGGTGGCGGGGAAAACAAAAAACAAGAAAAGCAACACAAAATGACTTCCTGAAGACCAGGTAGTTTGTATTATCATTCACAATATTTGCTGACCCTCTTGTTGAGAGATTATCACTTCCCCCCATGGGACTCAGAAAACAATTTCCCAAAATCAAGGCTTCAGAAGGAGCCTAAGAAGCAAAAGTTTTTTCTCTGACCTTCTCCTGCCTTCCTGTTTCTCATCTCCTTTCTCCCCTAAGGCCAGCATAGAAACTAGGATCCCTCCTCCCCAAGGTGGGTCATAGAAACCAAAACCCTTTTCCCCCAATGCCAGCCATAAAACCTACAAGTATTACTCTCAATTTCGCTCTGCCTCTATGTGTAAAAACTGGCCATAAAGAAATTATCAGTCAGCTATGATAATATGTGATAAATATGATCAGTTGAGCCTATGATCCCAGATCCTCAGGAAGCTGAGTAGGGAGGATCCCTAGAGCCTAGAAGTCCAAAACCATTCTGTACAGCATAGTGAGACCCTGTCACTGTCATTCAAAAGAAAGAAAGAAAGAAAAAGAAAGAAAGAAAGAAAGAAAGAAAGAAAGAAAGAAAGAAAGAAAGAAAGAAAGAAAGAAAGAAAGAAAGAAAGTGACCTTCCTTGTTTTACTGTATGTCATAAAGTTCCCATTTCAGAGAGGGTCCTTCCCCACATGTAGAAAGGGGAATGCTGGGCAGAATGGCCAAGAAGACTCAATACAGGCCTTGCTGAGTTTCCTACTCAGTCTACTACCAGTAGATCATACTGTTCTGTCCAATCACATTTCTACATGACTCTCCATGCTTTATTGAACCTGAACATAAAAATGAACAATTTCCCATATATCTTTGGTTCTTCATACTGAAACCTCCTGTGTACACATTAAAAAAAAACTGTATAATTTTTCTCTAATTAATCTGCCTTTCATGAGTTGATTTTTTAGTCAACCTTTAGAAGGTGAAGGGAACTTTTCCCTTTGTAACTACACACCCCATTAAGCAGGCTGGGACTTAGGTCTTGCTTTGATGAGTGAAATATGGTGGGAAGACTGTGTGACTTTTTAATCAAAACTGTTAAAGCCAGCAGGTGGCCAGGCATGTCTCTTTTTTTCATAACTGTTGATATTCCCCATGTAGCCTGCTGTGGACATGTATGTGGGAAAGAAGTCAATATTTATTTCTTTTTTGTTTTTTGAGACAGAATCTTACTTTGTCACCCTCAACTGAGTACTACGGCATCATAGCTCACGGCAATCTCAAACTCTTGTGCTCAAGTGATTCTCTTGCCTCAGCCTCCCAAGTAGCCAGGACTACAGGTGTCTGCTACAATGCCTGGCAATTTTTAGAACAGGTCTTGAACTCCTGAGCTCAAGCAATCCACTGGCCTTGGCCTCCCAGAGTGCTAGAATTACAGGTGTGAGCCACCACACCCAGCCAAATCAATGTTTCTTGTAGTTAGCCTTTGAGAATTGGGCTCACTAGTTACTACATCAATCCTGTTATCTTGACCAATGCACTAGAGGAACTAATGCCATTCATTAGATGAACAAAGTTTACTTACCAGGGGCTTCCTCAGAATTTCAGAGTTCAGACATCTCAGGAGGGGGATGAGTAGGGAATCCCTTTCCAGGATAGAACTTGTTCAAGTTTCATCTACAACACTCAGCACCTATGAGACCCAGGACAATTCACTTTGTCTCTGTGTGGCTCAGTCTCCTTAATTGCAAAAGGAGTTATTAGGAGAGTTAAGTAAATAAGGCAGCACATATAAAGAATTTTGCTCTGGGCACACTATATGGCTCAGAGGGGGTCTTCAATACATCATACCTAGCATTAATCCTAGTGCTGGCTTGTTAGGGTTGGAGCGCTCTCTAATGTCAGCATTTCTGTTTAACAGAAAAAGAGGTCCAGGGCCTTTGGGTCCTAATCACCCTGGATGGGACTTAACCACAGGTCTGATGGTTCCAGGCCATGGGACGTTGGGGGCAGTACGATGCCTGGTGCCTGGTTTTAAAACTCAATAGACACCCAGCTGGCCTGGTGTAAATGCTGCAGGGAGTGGGGCAGTGAGGAAGAGTGCTCAAAGGTCAATTCCCCACAGAGCTGTCTCTGGGGTGACCTGCCAAAGGGCAGCCTTCTTTCCTGGAAATCACCTGATTTAGGAACAGACCCACAGATCGGACCCGGTTAGACCAGACAAGATGTTTCCAGGTGCCATGGCCTCTGCCTTAGAGCTTGTGGTGCTACCCACCTCTTTGGCTCCTGGGTCCATTGCTCCTCCTTCTTCCCCCAGCCCCTTTACTCCTTCTTCCCTTCTTGCTTGCTCCCCCCTCTGCTTCTCTCTCCTCCTGTCACTCTCCAGGTCTCTTTACTTTCTCTCTTCACTTCCTTGTCTTTCCCTAAACCTGATTCTCACCCACTCTTGACAGCTCTTCTTTGTCTCCCCGTCTCTTGGTGACTCTCCCTCTTTCTGGGTCTTTCTCCAGCTCCCTCTCCCTGGCTGTCACAGCCTCACTGTCTCTCTTGTTCCTTCTTCCTTCATTCTTCTTTTTCTCTCTGCCTATTTCTCACTCTATCCAGCTCTCTGCATGTCTCTCCCTGTTTCCCTTTATCTCTCACTGGGTATTTGTTCTTTCTCTCCATCTTGGTCTCTATCTGGCTTTTTTCCCC